TGAATAAAAATCCTTTGGTGTTTGTTATCTTATATCTGCTAAAGTAATGGACGAAACTTTATTTGTTTTGTCCATTCCCATCAAAAGTCATCTCGGCTTATTTACTCCTTTCTTGGAAATGAAAATATTCTCTCAAGCGTACTATGACTAGTCAATTCGTTCACTTCTTTTGATGCATGTTTTAGGCTATATATTAAGGATCATCTCGGCAAACTATGGACTCACTTCTCTCAGCCAGCAATATCATGGATAAAGGGAAAGAAAAGGCTCTTATATCTGGAAGCCTATCTGAGTTCGAAAATGACTCTAGTCATAAACCCGAAAGTTCGCTGGTGAAAGGAACATCTTGTGACAAATCTACCAAAACATCAAGTGGTTCTGATTTCTTCTCACTTGTGCAACGTGCGTCACAACTGAAGCATGAAGAACGATATCGATCTCTCTATGCCGGTGCCGAAGCCAAAGTTTTAGCTGAACTTGATGACATGGAAAGACGAGGTCTTTCAAGAGATGCAATGGGAACAGATCACGACACAATCATAGTTGAAGTATTTGCCTATGAGGTTCAGAAAAAAGAGTATCTTGAAAATGCTCGAAAGAAGAAGGCTGGCATTGAGTGAAGGGCTGCACACCTTTTCACAACGAGAGATAGTAATTGTTCTTATCTTGCTTATTTCGTGTAATAAATCTCTCGGGAAATGTATCCTCTTTGAAGATTGTATAAGAGATTTGTTTGACTTTATTTGTCTTACAAATCTTCTATCATGATAAGTTCATCTTTTTTTCGGGTTTGAATCGTGCTTAAGAAGCCTCATCTCGTTCTCTCTCATCAAAACTGTTTAGATGATTCATAATGGGGATCGTGTGGCCGAGAAATATGGTCCACTACCCCACCATGACTGACACATGAATTGACGTGCATTAAATGCATCGACAGATATTCGAGTACTTTTCTCTCTCCGCATTAAATATGGAATGATCAAAATTGATCTGCACACGATCTTATCACTCCCCCATGCTCTGATCAGTTACCATATGAAAAGGTGGAGGCGGTTAATCTTTTGAAATTCCACTAACCCAACTTCATATGGGTTACCCATGTTCAGTTACCCGGAACCAAATAAAACCTTACTTGAACCCTCTTTGCATCATACCTCACCTTTTTCATTCCCTCCCAGACAAAGCTACCAAACTTCTCTTTCAGACACTCTACAATGGCAGAAAACACACAAGCGACATCCTCTGAAGAGGAACCAGAAACCCTTTCTACCCTGGTAATCCCAAGCTTCCCAACTAAAAACATGCGATTGAATCTAGAGTCCCATTCATTGTTGGAGGAAGCATGTGGGATGCCCATGGATTTCTCGAGTACGTGTTGGATCAAAAATTTGGCGAAGATATCATTCGACTGATAATTGAATCCGGATTGTACAAGTTCATTACATATCTCTACACCATATGGTATCCCATCGATGTAACACAGTTCTACATAAATGCATCCATTTCTACCGACTCTCTGACCATCACTTCCAGAGTCCACAATCATCAAGTGGTCCTCACCTCGGAAGATATTCGAACCATGTACGGTTTCCCACAGAGAGATGAATCTTACAAGTCCAACCTTACCTATTACCACTACGATCCGGAAGATTTCTATGACTCTATAAAAAACAACCAAGCCCCTTCGAAGACGGAAATCACATGGCCATTAAAGAAGAAGTGGTTTAAGTTGAATTATGAATTCACCGTTGACATCTTCAACAAGGTTGTTGATCATAAGACTTCAGGCACCGATGATGTAACCAAGGACAAACAAAAGATGTTGCATGCCTTTCTTAATGAACTTAAGGTTGACTGGTCGAAGATCATTTTCAACAATCTTGTTCACACCATCACCTACCACAGGAAGAATCCAGGAGATATCACCAAGAAACTAGGGTATGGGTTTATGGTAAGCCATCTTCTTGTCTCTAAGGGAGTTTTAATGCGACCAGGCATTCGGCCAGGACCGAAAGCTTGCCATATGAAGCAGAAACCATCTGGTTATGACAAACAGAAGGCATTGTAACTGGGGATTTCCATTGAGTTGGTTAAAGGCAAACGGAAGTCAGGAACGCCAAAAGCATCAGAAGATGAACAACCCAAGCCAAAACGACAAAAGAAAGAAAAACGCTCCTCTCGGGAAAAGATGAAGGGAAATGATGATGAACAACCATTGCAAACCCCTCCAAAATCTCCTCAAGAAAAGAAAGGTCCAACCCCACCTACTCCACCACCAGAAACAATAGTTGTGAAAGATTTATCTGAAGACGATAATCTGACTCTATCAAGACTCGGCAAAAAGGGTCACTTTCGTTCTCCTGTCAAACCAAAGCATTCCCCGAAGAAAGATACTACACCGAAAGTAGGAGACACGAGAGACGCACCTCCTCAGGGGGAAGTGAGCACGAAAGAAGCACCTCTCCAGGGGGAAGATCAACCGAGAGTTGTCTCACCAGAAAGACCTTCTGATCATCAAGTACCAGAACTTGGTCACATTTCCTCCCCTGTCCTCCATCCACAAGAATCTACTTTGGCAGAGCAACTTCCCCAAGGATTGACACAAGAACTTGCTGATGTAGAAATGGAGGCCAGTCGCTTAAGTCTTCCACAAGAACCTGGTTCACCAGAAAAGACGAAAGAAGTGACTGATGCAATGATTGAAATTCCATCTCTATCATCTCCCTTTTGGTCTGATGGTATTCGGTATGGACCTTCAAAAGAAAGGCCCGGGATTGATTCCCATCCCAAGCGTGGGTCGGAATATTGTTGCTAAAGCGATCCTGGGCCCTGCACTCTGTACCCTGAGGCCTGGGCTCTGTGTTCTGGTCTCGGGGCTCGGATTGTTGAATAAAAAATGGTCCTGGCAGAACTTGGTACGCTTGGTACTTGGAACCAACGGGAAGTCTGTTTCCAGGGCACCAAAACCTGTGTGGGACTTTGTCGTGTATAACCCAGAACAGGATTACAGGGTCTACGGCGCCCCTGCGTATAACGGACCGGGGATCTCAACAAGTCCTCTACACCTCAAGGAGGAACAGGGACCCATGATGTCCAAAGAAAAAGCACTGCGAGACGCGCCGGAACCTGGCGGGCCGTGATCTAGGTGACACCAGGCGTAACAACCAGGGGCACATGCCCCGGACCTTGGACGAAACGAGGTGAACCCACAGCACCAGGACGAACCAAGCGACTCCAGAAGCCATCCAATCGTAACGAGCCTTTGCGGAGGCATCTGATGTAAGTCTCAAAAAAATAGAAAAAAAAATCCATCTCTACCACAAGGACCTACTAGTGCAGAGCAGGTAATTCTGACACAAGAACCTGCATTGGTAGACGAGACACCAATAGTACCAATAGCTACTCTAGCTATTCCACAAGTAACAACTCCAATTCCCAAAGCAACTGTTCCACCACCATCACGAGATCAAGTGCTCCGAGAATCCATTGAAAGTGACTATCAACGAGTTTTGCAGTGGCAAAAGTGGCGCACAGCCCCCTTAAGTACGTTCATTGAAACATTTGAAGCCATGCAAGACGAAGAACAATTTGCCCTGGAATGGATCGGTACAGATGAAGTCTCCAAAGCACTTCGTCTTGAAGAAATACGACGAGTGTTCTCCTACAAGATGACAAATCGAACTCTTGGGAAAGACAAAGCCCCTCTCTGCATTGAACTTAACAAGCCACCGTTGGATCCAGCAGTTGAAGAAGAACTAAAGCAACTTCGATATGCCTTGTTGCTATCAAAAGTCAAAACCACTTTAGTGAAAGATCACCAGAATGATCCAAACTGCAATATCAGTGGCTCGAAAGAGGAGCAGGGACGAGAAATTGAGGAAGACGAAAGTGACATGAATGAGGAAGATGAAGATAATGATGACGATGATGTCGAAGATGCAGATGATGAGAATGATGATGATGATGACAATGACAATGATGATAATTTGGGTAATGCGGGAGTCCAAGGAGATGATCTGGCCTATGACAGTGATCCAATATTGATCGGTCCTGATTATGATACCTTTCCTCAAAGATCTCCACTTAGAAAGTTGCCCTCTGACAGTGATGACACGAAGGAAGCAACACACCAAGCTCAACAGATTTCAAATGAACATCCCGAAGATATGTCTCATGCAATTGTACCGCATATTCCACCCATGGACGAGACTCCAATCAAGCGTGAAGAAGCAACTGAGGGAAAAATGGAAGCCTCACCTATTCTCCCCAGCTCAGCAAGTGGTGGAAAAAGGGAAGCACCACCTCAAGATGAACAAATGGACACATCACAAACAAACATTGACGAAGAATCAACTCCAGAGTCCCCACGGACCATCATGAATCAAATGAGAGAAACTGTTCATACAGCCGAGAACATTCATCTGCAATACTTGGTTCTTCGGCAAAAAGACACAAAAGTATTGGATGACTTATGCAAGAAGGTAGATCTCCTAATGGCTGCCCAATCTCAATCACGGCCTCCACCTCCAGAACAGACTCAACCGCCTCAACCAACTCAATCTGATCGAAAGTTCCTTGGGAGGATTGCAAAGACGCTTCATGACCTTCATACCTCCGTTAACAAAGTTGCACGGCAACAACACGAACTCAAGCACTCTCATTTTAGTCTCAAAGAACGTGTTGACTTGGCATGCATGAAGATAGACACCTCACAAGATAATTCCTACCAACTGGGTGAATATGCTCTCTAGATTCGTGGATATACCCAGGACATATTAGTTGCAGTGAATAAGCTTTCCACTGTTCCTCCCACCACTTGTGCCGATGATGCCAAAAAGGGGGAAAAGAGAAACAATGACGACAAGGATAAGGATGATGATCATCCGAGAGATAACACGAAAGATCCGTCTCCGAGAGAAACTCCAAAAGCACGACACTCTCCTTCTCGGACACCAAGAGACTCTGGCCGAAGAAACACAAATCCGTCCCATCCACCATCCAGGTCTCGTGGTCACCATTTCTCACAGCGAAAATACCATGGTAGATATCAATCCAGATCACTCAAGCCTCGCCAATCTTTTGGATCTGAAGCCAAGTACATCTTCACAGGTCTCTCCAAGAGAGAACAGACGAATCTGAGGCAGAGACTCATGAAGAACAACAAAGTAACTATGGGTGGCATAGGAAACTTTGTGGATTTTGTACCCTATGAAGAGGGAAGTGGTAAACGTTTTGAGGGTTGCAACGTTCCTATCTGGCTCAAGACAAAGGACAATCATACAAGGCAAGATCACATAAGCACCCAAAATGAATGGATCAAAAGAGATAACAAAGAGTTATGGAAGAAACATGAAAAAGAAGTCAAACGAAGAGAGGATGAATCAAAGGAAAGAGAAAGAATAAAGAAGCTGATTGAAGACCTTTCAAATGTAACCAAAGCCTCTCCACAAGGTGTCATTCACAATGCAGCCCTCAAAGTGCACACTGAGTCGGGAAAGAGCTATCAAGAAGGAATGAACTCGTTCGAACTAATCTCGTGGTGGAAAGCAGGAATAGTCGAAGGAAGAAACATTCGTGAAGCCTACAACAACTACACAAATCTGAACATCAAAGGAAAACATGAAGATCTTGTCAAGACAAATCCGATAAAGGTCTTCAGAAAAAGGATTAATGAGGAAATCGACTTCACCAGAATGCTCAAACAACAAAAGGAAAGGGATGACCGAGAACATGAGGAAGCTGAACAACAGAAGTCAAAACTCTTGGAAATGTAAGATATCCTTTCGTTCTGCTTTCATTATAAAGTTTTTGTAATATTCACCATCTTTATATGAAACTCTCATTGTCACACATCTCGTGTCACTTGTCTGAGTTATTTGTCCTTGTCTTATTTATTAACGGTTTCATCCTAGAAAAGACTTGTACACTCTCAAGTATGGCTGCTTTTATAATAAAAAATTATTTATGGAACCATTATCAGCCTTATAAGAAGAGTATAGGTTTTGGCATCATCAAAAGGGGGAAATTGTTAGGAACCTTGTATTAGGATTTTGATGATACCAATGTAATGAAGAAAGTAGACCCCTAACTATTAGCTTTTTCAATTGCTACTTTCGTCCTAGACGAGAGTTGCCATAACTCCCCTGTAATTCGTGTTAAGCTAGAAAAACACACGAAAATGAGTTATGTCTAGATGATAGGGTCACCAAGACGAAAGAAGACACAAGGCATGATAAACAGCAACGAGAATTAATCAGAAGTTGTTAACTACCTCGAAAGGACAGATTTATTAAAGACGATTCTCACCAAGCACTCTTTCTCTTCAACAACGAGAATAATGTTTTGTCTGTCTGACTTGACAACATCCTAGGAAAATAAGGACCTCAACTTGTAGGACATGTTTACCAAAGAGCATTAAATGAAGATGTACCATCTCCTGGAGCTAAAGGACAAAACCCTAATGCTCTCCATACCTTCAACGGCTACATGGTACAACCTCATTAATGGAGCATTTAATGCATGAAGCTCCCCGGTCCTTATCCACTGGTTAAAAGGTTCAAAAATTTCATCTCCCTCCAACGGATGAATTTTCATCACCTATATAAACCCACCTTCATCAACTAAGAAGGTGCTGGTTCCATTCACTCGATCCATATATGCAAAAGCTCTTAAACGCTCTTTGCTCTCTAAAGCTTTTGTGAACCAGTGTTAAGGTGCTAAGATATTTGAAAAAGTTCATTGATCATCATCTTACACCTTAAAGAAGTCTTGCCATTTGTTCGAAGCAATCATCTCACACAGTCAAGACTTCATCAAGTTGGAGAAATCAGTAATCATTTTCTACCAACCTCAACTCTGAAGAAGTAGTTGATAGAGGCGGAGTAAACTCGAGAAGTTGAAAAACCTATGAAGGCTGTCCGGCTTAGTGATCAAGGAAGTCTTTGTGTAATTGTACTAACGAGTGATAGTGCAATCCTTCCATAAGTTGTGGAAGAAGAGTGGAGTAGGCAACGTTAGCCGAACCACTATAAAATCCATTGTCTCTCTATCTCTTTACTTACGCTTTTCTCTTCTGCATCATATTGTCCTCATCACTATTACCGAAAGCTTTCCTTACAACATAAACTCGTGCAAAGCAAATAATCGAACTTGATATTTCCGCTGCGCCAAAACACCGAAAGGTGGTCTTTAGGGCAAAACACGAAAAGAGTCTATTCACACCCCCCCCCCCCCTCTAGACTCTCACTACACTCTATCGGGACCAACAAGTGGTGTATAGAAAACTATAAATTGCTAGACCTCTCAAAGCATAATATGCTTAAGTCTAGTGAGTGATGTTCAGAAGACAAAATTGAGAATTCCCTCTTATCAAATCAACAAAAAAAAAATGATGATATATGTACTAAGAATAAATAGGGACTAAACTTCTACTGCATGTCAAAATATTGTTTGTGGGACAGACGCCAAAAGAAGGTTAGAGATACAACATTTCATTCATGCCCAGCCACTCTAAAATTTGGGGAAACCTGTTGTCTATTACCATGTTAAGTACTATTTTTTCTTGAAACCAACTAGCTATTGCATTTATGATTCTGCCAAATCAAACTGCTATGACCCCATTAGAATTTAGAATAGCAACCATTCTAAGACAAGTTCCCTATCGTCTTCTAGTATAAATCTGAAAACATATATAACCAATATCTTATAAAATTCAAAATATATACCATATAATTCCTAAATTTTGAAATACATTAATAATTAATTCCAAATATAATTATTTTCAACTCCAATAATTCAAAAATTGAAATAATAATTAAAAATATAAAAAACTTACAATGTAGGCATGCCAGCTGAGTGGCGGTGCGGCTGTGGTCCGGTGCGGCGGTGGCTGTGCGGCCGTGGCCAGGTGCTGCGGTGGCTATTGGGCGTTCGAACGAAGGGGATGGTAGTGGCTCTGTGGGGCGGTGCAGATGGTTATTATAAAGTGTGGCGGCGAGGTGACGTCCAGCGAAGCTTTTGCGGAGAGGTAACGCGATGCTGGGCTGTTGTGGCGGCTGGCGTTCATCGAGGGGGCTACGCGGGGGCGACGAGAATGAGGTTTGTGACGACGGTGTGTGGCGTGCGGTGTCGAGGGCGACAGTGGCGAAGGGTTGTGAGCAGTTTAGGTTTTTCGTTAGTAAATAAGGGTATTTAATATATATATACGAAGCCGGCTATATTGTAGACACGTCGTATATATTAAATATATATTTTTTTAATTTTTTTATTAAAGTCGGTTTTACTCCGAACAGACGCAGTAACTTTAATAAAAACATTTAAAACTAATTCGTATAACTATACGACGTCGGCTCATTTACGAGCTGACGTCGTATAATTTCTAATTTCCTTACATAGGAAGTCAGTTTTAACAAAAAACCGACTGTAATATGTATTTTTTAAATAAAATTATTTTTAAAGTTTAACATCGATTTTGTAAATAACCGACATTAAAAAGGCGATATTGTAATACATTTTTGTAGTAGTGACCGCAGCGACAACGGGGTGCGATGGGGACGATTGAGGCGAGGGAATTTGGTGGAGGAGGCGACGAAGACGACGGGATCTGCTGCGTGGGTGCTGATTGAATGATGGTCACGGGCGAATGAAGAATTTTGGCTAAGGATTTGTTGAAGAAAACCTTAATTTTCTGTGTCCGGTATTAATAATACGAGACGCAGATTCTAATTTAATTACTCTGTAATAAAAAAATTATCTAAGGACTATCTGCATCTTTTGTGATCATACAACAAATGCTCATAGTCCATTTATTTAAAAATAAATAAAAAAGAATTTAATAGAGAACTTTTAATTACAAATTGCCACCGTCTCACTTTATGGGTCTGATATTTAAACACCAAACGCAAATTATCTCATTTTTATGGTGTGCGAGTGATTGTGAGTGGTAGATATAGAGGAACTTAACATTTTCCTTAAGTTTATACACTTATTATGGTTGCTGAAAGTCCATATTTTGATCAAATTTCTAAATTCCATTGGTTGTCACATACTTTTGGGCAATAGTGTGGCTATAATTATTTGTAATATAATGTAAACTTAATTGATCCAAGAACATAGTAATAATTAAATCAGAAATGATAACTCTATTGTAAATTATAAAAAGAGCCCATCTTGATTCATTCAATAATACTAATAACAACACACAATACTCTAAAACATACATGCAGACTCCAATACTAATAATCTAGCTAGAGCTAGCTAGCTATGAGTCCCTGTAGATAGCACATACATACATACACACCCGTACATTACATAGTTTACAAACCCACTTTCCTTACATGGTACATCCAAGAAATCAATGCAACAGATACCTAAAGTCTTGTCTATAAGCGTCTGATTCATAGGCATCAAACAGACGCCTATTGCATCCTACAACAGACGCGAATAAACATTAAAACTAGATGAGATACATATATATTGTAAAGACATGCTTAAATTAACAACCATGCATGCATGTATTGTATCAATCGGTGCAGCAGCGATACATGAAGAACTTCTCCATTTGGCGACCGCACTCGGCACAGACGATCATCTCAGGGATGTCGCCGGCGATGCCAGGGAGGATCAAGCGGTTGCAGTGCTGCGGGGTGTGCAAGTTGAGGAAGTACTTGATGAGAGCCTGGACGAAGCCGTTGTCCCTGGCATCCTGCTCCCACTCGGGGAAGTTGTCGAGGGTGACGATGAGGATGTTGCTCTTGGCCCTCGCCATCTCCTCAGAGCCTCGGCTGAAGAGAGCCCAGCCTTGGTCGCTGCCATCGAAGCTGAGCATGGTGACCACCTCTTGCATGATCTTGTCCTCATTGATCTTCCTCCCCTGCTGCAGCTTGGAGTAAAGCATGCTCCCCATCCGCGCCCAGAAGTACCACACTGAGGTCGGGTCGTTCCAGCAGTAGCTCAGCTCTTCTTTGAGGATCATTTGGTTGATCTTCCGCACTCGTTCCTTGGTGTTGCTCTTCCCCACGTACACCATGTGGAGCTCGATCCCTGCTCTCTGGGCCACGCTCTTCGCCAGCGCCGTGAAATTCCTGATCCATTCGATGTCTTCTCCTCCGTAAAGACATATGTGTTTCCCTTGCTCAGTCTGTCACATACACATACATAACACAATACACTATTCATTACTTATTATAGGAAAATTTGAAAGTGCTGCATGCACGGGCAATCCTGTTGATTTCTAAATTGCATTGTGAGAATTATACTCAATATGGTGGGCTGCTTGTAAACACCAAATACTCCCACCTAGTGAATTGCTGGGCAAATTATAGTGTGAACTGTGGTCCACCTTGTAAGGTACAAGGTGGATCACTGATTTAAGGTACATTTTTCCTTTTTAGGTTATGAGATGTCCTAAGCAAGACTCTAATGGTAGGAGGCACATTTAAGCTTGTACAATACTCAGACTAATCCCCATTTGCACCGGACCGACCTAATTAAGGGACAAAGTGCTGGCCAGATTGATTTAAGGTACAATTTTAATGTACTGAAAAGCACAAATAATGTATCTTTAAATAATGAACTTTCAGTATACAAATAATGTAGATTCAGTATATTAAAAATGTACATTATGTCAGTAGTCCACTTTGCACACGGACTTAAGGTACATTTTTAATGTGAATTATATTATTTGTGTACTCAAATAATGTATTTTCAAATAATAAACTTTCAGTACATCAATAATGTACATTCAGTATATTAAAAAAATACTTTATGCCAGTACTTCACCTTGCATAGTGGACGATGCATATGGTCCATGGTAGAATGATTGGGACCGCTGAGTGAACATTATTTACTCAGGTACGAATGTGAGGGCCCCAAATTTGAGAAATTCTCACCTTTTGTTAGCAAGAAAAATTTAAAGGTGCGAATTGGTAACTCAATCTTATATATGGTACTACACTACTACCCAAAGTATAGTAAATGGGGAAGGACTACTTACCCATTCAAGAACATTTGGATCAATGCTATCAACAATGAGCTCAACCCTCCAAGACTCGATGCTCCACAAGGATTCCTCTTTGGCAAGGGTGAAAGGGTAAGCCATATTCCCCCAGATCCAGGCCATATGGAGTGCATTTTGGCAGGCAACTTTACCTTGTTGTGGATCCAAAGCCACAAGCATCATCTTCTTGGTGAAGTGCCACCTTTCCTTGACGAACTTGATGACTGCCGGCTCCAGCAATGAAGGATGGTGCAGCGTGTACCATGGCATCATCCCTTGCAGCTCCTTGAACTTCTCCTCCCTCTCTTCGTTCCACTCCACCGTCGCCCTCTCGATGATGGGCAGCCACACGATCTCGTATTGCAGCTCCGGCCTCGTCCTTGATTCCATGTAAATGTGGGAGAGCACCAGCAGCTCCTCGTGGGAGACGTCCAGATCAGACAGCAGAAGCAACACTGTCTTCCTCCTAAGCACTTCAATGCTCGCCTACAATCAACCTCATCATCATTGTGTTAGAGTACTATATTAGCAAGCCAAGATCGACAACAATTGGGTCTGTGTGCCTCCTTTTAGCTTGCTTGGCCTTTGGATAGCTTCAATTCTGTCATTTTGACATACTCCGAGAGCTGCCATTATGTGCCGAACTTTTGATAAATTTGGGACGTTCTTGGTTTATTTCATAGGCGGCGGTGTGGCCTGATGCATGCTTATGTTGTTAGCTATTTTGTGGTTGGGATTTGGACAAGATCCTTTTTTATGGTAGACTAGGTTTAGTTTCCTTTCAAGTCTAACTATTTATGTTTATTTTGTCTAAGTTTTGCTGAACTAATTTTAAATTAAATCCACTAGACCCTATTCTAAAGTCACTGTACATATTGGTTTTATGAAAAAAAAAAAAAAAAAAAAGAGTTTGAGTTTGTGAAAGCAAGCAAAGATTACCCTAGTCTGGATGTTTCCAACTTCAAGAGGGAGTATGTCATCTTTGATGTAGATAAGGGCTTTGAGAATCTTCATGTTGTCGAAATGGGTCATCTCAAAAAGGTGTACAAGCATTTTGTAATACTCGATGTGCATTTTCTCCTCTGCAATTTCATCATCATTGCATTATTATTCAACATGATCATTATACATAAATACAAAAAGCGAGTAGTCAAAAGAAAAATTAGATTCGATTATGTATTATTCCTTCATATATATATATATATATATATATATATATATATATATAGATAGTAGGGTCCAATGAGAACACTTACTTAGGTAAAAACGTGATAACAAATCGTGTGCATCCATCTAGATTAAGTGAGTGCGAACGCGAATTAAATGTGTGCAAACGCTTATTCTAATCTAATCTAGACCACTAAAGCGTTTACATATATTTAATTTGCGTTCGCACACAGTTAATTTAATCTTGACCATTAAAAAATATTATATGAATACACACCATTTATTTTCATGTTCTCACCTAAACAAGTGTTCTCATATATATATATATATATATATATATATATATATATATATATAAATTTTCTTTAATTTCCTTACCAATATGCAGATAGCAACGCTCCAATTCTCCCCTGAGGTGTTCACTTATGTTCACCAGCTTGTGGGTCGTACTTGTGATTTCCCATGTCTCCACGGTTGTAGCCAAAATGATTCTGTGTCGTACACATTATATTTCCAAATATTGAATTTATCAGTATCAAACTCTACATAAATTAAAGGAAATGATAAAAATAACTTTATTTATAAAAAGAAAAATAAGTTAGTTAACGGAGTTTGATAATTATATAACACCAAGAACTAAAAATGTAACATAATGAATAATTAAGACTCTATATGTTTAAATCAATTAATAGAGATTAAATTTTCAAAAGTGAAACAAATCAATAGCTAAAAGTGTTGTTTTTCTTAAAATAAAATATTGTGGTGATCTTGTGACAAAAAGGTGGAATCACCCACTCTAGTTGGAGGGCCCGGATAAATCATAAAACTAATGGACAACTAAGAAACAAAGAGTTTTGTTCACTGTGGCAATATTGTGATGATGTAAGTAAAAGATTAAAATTGTGCTTACTCATAGTTCATGCCAAGAAGGCTAGTGAGCTGAGCAGAGCAAGCGACGATGCTCTTGATGGTCCAATAGACGGCGGTGGGGATGTGGGTTTTGGCGACGGAGAGAGGCGGCTGGTCTTCGGAGATGTACTGCGCCGGTAGCTTCTTGAACTCCATGATGCGCCTGGTGACGTCCATGACGGCCATGATGAGATTGTTGATGGCGTCGAAGCGGGATTTGAGGGCGGCCGAGTGTTCCACGATGTCCGGCAACTGTTTGAGGATGGCGACGGACTTGGCCAGGGGATGGGAGGCGAAGAGCTGCGCCACCAGCCAGAATTCGCCGTAGGTGACCGCGAACGCAGCCAGGGATAGCACCACCTTTGCGTCCCATTGGTAGTTGGACAGCATGTTCAGGATTGCCATTGTTGTTGCGTTGCTGTCACCTCCACCTGAGCATTTGCATGTCAACTGCAATTCAATTCAAAATTACACATATCACATCTATATCTCATATCAATTATCCACTGTCCGAGAGTGTACACTAGATAGTGACCCTAGCTGTCAAAAAATCACACTCAGATAAACCAGACTTTTTAGGTTACTCATAGCTGACCAATGCTCAGAAAAGGGTAAACCAATTTACTTTACTGGACAAACTCAAACCAGAAAGGTTAATAGGTTATTGCCATTGGGAGTCAAATTTATAACCTTATAGTTACGGGGTCAACAGTTTAACCAACTTGGTTGGTTGCCCTCTCATATGAATTAAAGATATATAGAAGAGAGAAACCAGTTTGGTTGGCATGAGTGGCTGTGCACTCTCGTCCCTTAAGAGAGGTTCGGAGTTTGAACTCCCTCTCGTATGGAAAAACCAATCTGCTCACCACTTTACTCCTTAATTGGGCAGCTTGGTGTGAAAACGAGATTAGTTTGAGTATATATGGTATGAGCTTAAAGGTGCCTACAATCAGAACACCTCGGGGTTTGACAATAAAAAAAAAAAAAAAGAAGATAAGATTGTGGTGACCTCGCAGGAGACTTTGTGGGTGATATATGCCAATCCTTCAAGAACCCCATCAACAGCAAGTGAAGCTTTCTCTTCTAACTTCTGAAGGCTAGCTACTGGCTGAGCCCCTGGAATAGTAGCCCCCTGAGTGCCCTGAAAAATCACATATATGGTTACACCTTAACAAAGTTGTAATATTTTTTTTTTTTTTGGTGACGAGAGAGACCAACAGCATCACTAAGAGTCTACACTACTGGCTGGATAAATCCCTTCTTATGTATAGTCAACAAACCACACAAAAAAAGTAATCAGTACCAAAGAGGGTGCTGGTAAAAATAGAGACTCGTAAACAGGGGAAACTATATACCTGTAGAACGTCCTCAACGCCAGGGTAAGCATGTTGAAAGATCTCCTCAATGATCTGGAGAATGATGCTGGCGTCAACGTCGCGGCCGTCGGGGCTATGGGTGTCCTGGATTTTCTTAACCATGGCGTGGTCATCAGAGAGAGAGAACAGCGGCGGCGGCCGCCTAGCCAAGGGCTGAACCCTGAGCTGCGCCGCCGGAACAACTGCATGGCTGGCTGCTATCCTTTCCATTTCGGAATTCTTCTTGTCTTTTTTTTTTTTTTTTCTTTTGATTATGAAAAGGTGGTTTCCTCGGACAAAATGGGATGGATGGTTTGGTGAGTTTGAAGCAGGCATGCATGCAAGATATATATAGTGATGAAGGAGTGAGGGAAAAAGGGAAAAAATGATGGAGTGAATCAAATACCTTGCTTGTAAGATGGTTTAATGATCTGTTAAAGCCATTGTGGAATTAAGTAAATTGGATAAGGTGGCCTGGATCATCATTATCATCAAGTGTTGTGTATGGTATGGTCCCATAACCTTGTCTTTAAAGGGTTAAAGTGTGGAAAGCAATCATGTCTCAATATCTCTCTCTACCCGGCCAGGCAGGGGGCATCTTTGAATTGAATTAAATTGGAATAGGATCTTGGAAAAGAGAATGAACAAAAATCAGATCGGTTCAAAGATAAACAACAAGTACCATGTGATTTTAATTTCTTAGAAGGAAATTAAAAAACTTTCATGATTCTTCGACGAATGTTTAGTACTCATTTGGTCTCATTTTTACTCGTTTGAGCTTATTAGGCTTCTTTTGTTTTATTTTTTTTAAATTTTTTTTGCCTTAATCTTAAAATATTTTTGTCCTATCGGGTAGCCCATCAATTTTGAGTTAATCGGCTAGGATTGACATTTCAAAAGGTGGACAATGGTTCATGGTATAACAATTCTATTAACCTTAGGTGGGTTAGCCAATCCATTATTAGTAATCCATGAAAATAAATAGTTTTTTTTTTTTAAATAAGAAGTGACTAATAGGAAGTGGTAATTGTAGGAATGGAAACATTTTCATATAATAATAGCAGTACTAACTCATGGAGCTCTCGAATTCGCTCTCGACTCAACGGCTCCTCGAAGATCAAGATCTTCTGGAGCGGAGTACCAAGAAGCCTAAACGGCATGGCGTTGATCCACCGTTCCATGCACAGGCAGCGACGGAGGGGATGAGGCATGCGGACGAGGTGGAGATCGTCTAGGAGACCCCGATCAAGGAGATGATGGAGGTTGCTTCGACGGAGGGAACGCAGAGATCGTAGGAGAGGGATCAAGCACCATCGCAGGTAGATCCAATCTCGTCGCAGGGACAACATCTACCTCGCTGGAAGTATGCGGAAAGTGTGACCGGACAGACTGCCGCTTCAACGTCTTTGTAGGTTGGTGCAACTGAGTAGGAGGATGATCTCGTCGAGTTGGCGGATAACGAAGATGACGATCCCTTATGCCCCACAATTCGGCTCACAAAAGAGGAGGTGGAGATGATATGCGCTCCGTGGAAGCAGTCGCTCATCATCAAGGTGATGGGGAGGAAGGTCGGCTACGCCTACCTGCGCAGGAGGCTCGTGTCCATGTGGAAACCAAAGGGGAGCCTTGATTTGATCGCGATAGACAATGACTTCTTTCTCGTGAAGTTTAGATCGATGGATGACAAGGCGTTCGCAAAGTTTGAAGGTCCATGGATGGTGTTGGACCACTATCTGATTGTTCGTGAATGGGAGTCGGATTTTGATCCCTTTGAAGCGTCGACGAAGAAAGTTTTGGTCTGGGTGAGGATACCTTGCTTACCGGTTGAATACTATAATTTTGTTTTTCTCAGGAAGCTCGGGAACAAGGTCGGCAGGGTGATTCGGGTGGATCCAGCAACCAGTCTGGTCTCTCGTGGCATGTTCCCAAGGATCTGCGTGGAAGTCGAGTTAGCAAAGCCTCTTATCTCTAAATTCACCTACAACAACTGGGTTCGGCATGTAGCTTACGACGGACTGCATCTGGTATGTTTTTACCTGTGGACTTTATGGCCATTCTCCTGATTTTTGTCCTAGGTCTCGCATAGCCAAGCTGGAGCATGCGGTGGTGCATGAGGGGGAGCAGCCGCGAAGACTCAACCGGCGAAGGCGAATCATCCGATCTAGATTGGGTCCGCCCCATTTGGCACCTGGATGATTACTCCTGGGCGAAGAAAGAGGCCGAACACGAGGCTGCCGAATCGTGTTCAACGTGAAACGGGGAATCGGAATGAGGCGAATAATGCACAACAGGTGCAGGTTGCTCGTGAATCAAGGTTTGCGCCTCTTGCGTTTACTAATAGGAGGGAGGAGATCGTGGAGGCTGCATCGACGGAAAATCTTGTTGAACCAACCGGAGTAGCTGATGGCGCGTTGGCAACTGTCTCGGACATAGGAAAATAGGCGGCGGGTACCAGCAATTTACTGGCGCGGTCTCCTTCAGATGGTCGACAGCGGCGTCCAAATGTCATCGGGACGGAAAAATAGATCGCAAATGAGCTGAGAAGTTCATCCGGACAGAGAACAACGGTGGGTGAACCTATGGTTAGTTCGCGAAGGGGAAGCAATGCGGCGCCCAGACGTGCAGCGGAAGAGGATGAGCATGTGGTTTTTCGGGGTGAGCAAGGGGGATTAGTGATCAATTCTACAAGGGTGGTCGCTGGGGATGCGACGGGGGACGTTACTTCACCGGTCTGGCAAGCCACGAGGAACACCATAGCGATCCTCTGGGGCAAGTTAATGACGAAGGTGATGTTGTTATGGATCTCGAAGAGATCCCGAGAAGTGGCGAAATTGGGAGGGCCTTGAGCACCCCATGAGTTTGTTTGTGCTCTTCGTTCTGTTTTTTTTGGTCCTCTGTTTTTTAGCCTTTTTCTGTTTTACTATTCCTTTTTCTTTCTTTGTTTTCTCATGATCAGTCTTTTTTAGAATTTTTAGGGCACCGGAGAGAGGGATTTCCACCACATCCTTAAAAACCTTCTCCGTATGCACAACCGCACTTGCTTGGGCTTGTCGAACCGAAGGTCTCCGGGGATCAGGCCAATGCTATTTGTGCAAAGCTCAGTTACACGGATTGGGTCAGAGTGGAGGCTGTAGGATTTAGTGGAGGGATATGGGTGTTGTGGAATAAACCCGTTAACGTTCTGGTTCAATTTACTCACCCACAATTTATTTTATTGCAGGTGAGGGAACAAGGGGAGGAGCCGTGGGGTTTAGCAGTTGTCTGTGGTAGCCCGCTGCATCATCTGCGAAAGCGACTGTGGAGCGAGTTTAAAGCTCATAGGCATAATATCCCAGGAGATTGGGTCGTTGTAGGAGGCTTTAATGTTGTCACCTGTAAAGAAGAGACTTTGAACTACTCGTCCTATTCTACACCAAAGAAGTGCAGATTTCGTCAATTAGATTCATGATGAGGGCCTCGTGGACCTGGGCTTTAGCGGTCTCCGGTTTACTTGGATGCGAGGCCTGACCGAATCGGATTACAAAGGAGCCCGGATAGGGCCTTATGCAGCGTGGGTTGGGTGCAAGGAAGACATACAAGTGCACAATGGATCAATAAAACGAGAAGTCAAGAAAACATACCGTACCAGTGGCCACGAGGTGGGCGGTCGACCGCCTGTCAAGGTCACACTGGAACGTGACAGTGGGCACGTGGTGGGAGGTCGACCTCCTGCCAAGGTCCACTGGAACGTGACTGTGAAGAAGGAATCACTTCGGGAAAAGTCCCAAGAATGCACAAATTCAAGTCCAAAGAATTCCACACTCATATGAACAACAAAAGGGACTTGAATACATGGTAAACATCAAGGAATAACATTATTATGATATCAACAAGGAATACGGAAGACTTAAACGAAAGTTCAAGAAATCATAAGGATCACACATCACATTCCTCCCCTCCTAAAGAATAAAGCTACGTTCCCATAACTTTCAGGCAAACTCATGCAAGTACTTATCAAGCTATAAGTAAGTTAACTACCAAAATAATCGAACAATCACAATTAAGAAAAGTGAGCAATTATCGGTCAAATAAGTTCGTCAATTGCAAGTTCCAAAATATTCCATCAAATAACAAATATCCAAATAATGCATATTGATCAAATAATTAAGCAATAATGTGCAAGTCCTTAGCCGATATATGAATGAATTAATTAGGAAAATAACCCAACTTTCATGCTTAAGCAAATAATCAAGTCCGGTATGTAAGAAACAGAATCAATAGCATGTCAAAGTAAGTTATTAATAATCAAAGAATGATATGTGACAAAGCATGTAAAAGTATGCAAGTAATCACAACTTTGGAGCAAGCGTAGAAAGCAAGGAACAAATATAGGGAACTTAACAGAAAGGGATAAATAAACTCATAGTCTCACCGCGTGTCCTAAGATTCTTATATCCTAAGAACTTAAACACCTAGAGTTCAAACTTAATGTCCTAAAGTCTTGTCTTAAGGG